CTATGTGTGTATATGTACATCTACACAATGCCTGTGCCTTATACACAGAAGGAGTAAGTGCTGTCACCTCCCAAGAATCCAGTTCCCCTCTTTGGGGATGCCTGTACCCGTGTTAAGAACACAGTGGGTGAACGAACAGCGAAACTCCAAATTCCGGGCTGTCCGGCCCTGCCCGCATTCCCTTTACTGTTCACAGGACTGCCTCTTTCTCATCATGTCCTCCCACTGCTTCAGCTCCTTCATTGCCTTTCCATTATTTAAAGGTCCTCCAGGTGGCACCCAAGCTGTCCCTTCTGTCCCCATACTTTGCTTCAGCAATGAGGAAAGGCTGTTGACAACAGGCCAGGTTTAACCTCTCCACCCTCTGGCCTCCACCCTCGCTTCGTTGTCTACAGATGCTTGTGTTCAGGACCCAGCTTGGGCATCAACTCCTCCAGCGAGATTTTCCTGACCCCACAAGGTCTGGGTAAGCCTGCTACATGCTCTCATAGCAACATGGACTCGCTCCTCTCCCAACACCCTTCTTACTCGGTTATAGTGACCTCCCCCAAAGGGCTATAAGGGCCCTGTATCGCCAGGCCCAGTGCACAGGCACTTCCCGGGGAACAGGCAGCTGCAAGTGGGTTCATGCCCAAGCCATGGTAAAAAGAGTTTTATAATCTGTTAATAACTTAGCCAAGCCTTGAAACTGCTGCATGTACTCTCTACTAAACCTGCAGTAGGGGTGAGAATGAAAGTGGCCTTACGTTTTCCATCCATAGCACAGGCCTGCCTGACACCAGGGTCCTCAGTGAGAAACCGAGGCTGGGCAGGCTGAGCTCACATGCCCACCGTGTTCCTTTCCCTCTCATCCCAGGTGCATCTCCCGGCCTATCCAAGTCTGACTTTTATTTTCTCGGGAGAGCCCTGCTCTCTTTGACTCCAACTTCCCAGCTTCTTTTGGAGATGGCACTGGCTGCTTCTGTCTGGACTGCTGCTGGCCCTTTGGGAAATGTCTCCCCGACCAGCTCAAGTACATGGCTTCATTTCTGGGCTCTAGAGTAAAAGAGAAGACCTAGAGCTGATGAGAGTTTTCAGTCCCTCTGGCCACTGGAAGGCTCTGGGGATGGACAAATCACTGAAGTCATCCATAGGAGCCACCATCTTGGGACTTAACTGTTAGAGAAGGACTCCCTTCTCAAGGGAAGGGACAATGGAAATACAATGGTCTAAGGTGGGTCAGATGTCACCATGTAGAAACAGAGGGGCTGAGAGAGCTCAAAACAGAGCTGATCGCTGAGTGTGAAAGGAACAGACACACAAATAGTCCAATGATTCTGTTCCATCTTCCAAATCCAACTGGGCCTGAGGTGCCTATCTTTTCAATTCCATGAATTAATAAACTTTGTCTTTTTGTGCTTAAGGGAGTTTGAAATAGGATTTTTATCATATATAACAGAAGTGTTCTAACCAACACAGTGGATGTGAAGCACGGTGCTAAGCCCACAGCAGACATTTGAGCAAAGCTCGCTCCTCTTTCCTCCTCTGGTCAAAGCAAGTAGGTGAATTGAACAGTAAGGCACTGACCTGCTACTCCCAAACTATCTGAACATCAGTTGTGCTCTGTACTTACAGCCTGGAGGTCTCAGTGGTCACATAAACATATGGTTCTAGAGTGAACACAGTCTGTGCTCAAAACCAGGACTCACAATTTATTGCATGACCCTGGGCAAGTGACTTGGCCCCCATGAGTTTTTAAGGCCTTACTTTTATTTTTTTTAAGATTCATTTATTTTTATACAAGAGCTGGGGTATAGGCCAGAGGTGCAGAAGGGTGAGAGAATTCACCAGAGACAGAGTAGGGAGCAGAACAGGCAGACTGACCAAAACACACTGCTGAGGAGAGCAGTGGGCGTGATAGGAAAGGTCTGCTGCACCATGTGGGATTCTTGCTGGCTGGTGGGATTGAGCCCACACAGCAGAGGCTGTGGACAGCCTCACTGTGATGCGCTCAACCCGCTACGCCACCGAGGCCAAGGCCTTACTTTTAAAAGGGGGACAGTAGCAGTATCTGTCACAAAGGTCTCTGGTAAGAATCACATGAGACAGTGCCACCCAAGTGCTGAGCACAGCACCTGGTACTAGAAAACTCCTTGGTGAAGATTACCAAGCACTACCCTCACCTAACAATGAGACTAGTGGAGAAACAGAATTCAGAGAGCTCGGGTTTCATTTTCTACCAGTTGTGAACCTATTAAATTACTGTGTCAACAACTCTAAGTGAATACCCTCAGAAACCAGAAGAGCTGCAAAAGACTGGTCCCTGGTTCTAGAAGCTGTCATTCCAGCAAGCTGGTGTGGACACCCGAGTACCAGGCCTGCCACCTGAGGAAATGACCCAGAGGTTTTGATGGCTCTTACTACTCTACTTATGCCAAGTCTGTTTGCCAATCATCTGTTCTCTGTGAGCCTCGAAAGGCAAAAAAGCAGCACTGCCTTTCCCTCTTCAAAACTGCATGGCCATAGGAACGCGTATGTCTTTTCTTTTCTGCATTTACCTATTTTCTAGGTGAGCTCCCAAGGCTTCCTTCTTTCACATGACTAGAATAATCATAAAAATTAAAAGTTGGAGAGAAAAGAGGTGTCTGTCCCTCTAGGCTATTCTCATGCTCAGACAACACATCTGTCCTGACGTTAATTCAGTTTTATTTTCCTTCCTGTGAAGAGTTTTCTTCTTCACACTCACCTTTGTGTACTGCCATTAGGCAATTGGTAAAAGCTCAGAGCTAGAGTCTGCTAGATGACATACATTTGTGCATGTAAGACATTACAAATATATTTTAAATATGAAATATTAATACTATTCAATACATATATTCCATTTGGACTCTGTTTTTCAGAAGAATAAGCAGTTCCTGTTTTCTAATGGGAAAACACACCTTGATTTGAAGAGTTTAATTAAAGTTCCTTCTGTTCTCATACGACCCCTTTCCTCAAGTAGCTTGTACTTAACATGTGCCATTTGGCTGGCCCAATGTGAGCACATCTGCTTAGCCATATGGTTCCTGGTCTTTCTGGTAACAGTGATCCATTCTGGGGTGGGCAGAGGACCAAACAGAAACAATCCCGAAGTTTTGCTAGAACTGCTTGGAACAAGATACTTGACACTGGGGCTGCTAAGCTAGGGGCACCCAACTTAGGGCAACTGTGGGCCTGCTCCTGCCCAGAGCCACCCCGTGCCAACAACCACAAAGCACTAAGCAAAGCCAAGAAATGGTGTGTGGACCTTTGGTCACTTCCACATGCTCAGCTGAACCCACGTTAGGCAGCCTCCAGTTTATCAGCAGGATCCAGAGGAATATTTCCCTTGAGCAGGTATGATGTGGAAGTGAGTCTTCAGTTCCCAGGCTCACCCCCAAACACAATTAATTCTGTTAGATGCCTTGGGATGCTTAAGATCATCCTTCCTGTTCCCTCGTTCTATACAATTGAGAACAGACCCAAAGAGAGACACACATGGTCAGTCTATCAGCAGATTCTGTTGGTGCGACCTTCAAATCACATCTTTAGCCAACTGATTACCACCACCTGTGCTGCTGCCCGCATGAGGCACCATTGCCACCACCTTATACTAGTTCAACAGCCTCCCCATCCTCCCACCCCCTGCTGGCCTCTCTGCTTCTGGCCCTACTCCTCCTCAGTCTCTCTGCAACCCAGCAGCCAAGTAATCCTGTAGTCAGGTCACAACACTCTTCTGTACAAAACTCTACTTATCTTAGAGTGAAAGGCAATGTGTCTGCCATGGTCCACAGGCTATACATGACCTGACTCTCCTCATCCAATACTCTCTCTTACCACTCTTTCCCTTACTCACGCTCCGGCCACATGACTTAGTGCTATTTCTGAATATGCCAGACAGCTCCTGCCTCAGGACCTTTGCACATTCTTTTCCTTCTGCCTGGAACTTGCCCTGGATTTGCTTAAATATCACTTGTCAGTGAGGACTTCTTTAACCACTCTCAACAGTCACCTCTAAGACTCAGCAAGGCCCTACCCTTTCAGCTTCAGTTTTCTCCATTAAACACCACCATTCCAGGTATCATATATTTGACTTATATGCTTTGTTTATTACTACTATTATTTTTCACTACCATCTTCCTCACTACAATGTAAGATCTACGAGATGAGGGATTTTTCTAGCTTCACTTTTGCCTTGCCATTATCTAGAAGTGTCACACAGTAGGGACACACAATTTAATGGAAAGAAGGGAGGAAGGGATGGAAATACATTTATCATTTATGACAGTGTTAAGGGGCAGATGCCACCTACATTAGTCTTAGAGGTGAAGGCTGCCAGGCCAACCAAGTGGGACAAGCTGCCTCAATTACTCAATGAGCTGGCTGAAACAGCACAGCCAGAAAACCACCGAATTTCCAAACAGATGCTACAAGCAGGCTTCCCCTGCGACCCAGTGAGAACCAGTTCAAAGATGATGACAAAGCAAGGACAGCTCCCAACCAGCTCTTTTTATCTTACATGTATTACACGTGAGATAATATGCTAAATGTAGTCCTATTACCCAATTTTCAGCAAATAGCTATGAAGAAAATTTAAGGGCCAGAGGAATTGTGTGGCTACAACAAAGTGAAGCATGATTTCAGAGAAACTGGAAACACTATGAGATGTATTAACTCCTTTTGCAGGCTTTTAGAAAGTAAAACTCAAAGTAGAAATGGGATTTGAACCTGATTCTCCTGGATGCCCAAGCAAAAGCCTCTTTGTCATTAAACCCCAGAAGCTCATCACAAGCGCCCGAGCCTGAGGAGCAGCTCTAGCCCTCTGACTTCTTTCGGTCCCAGCAGGTCTCCCAGGTGATCACACTACACTGCAGCTGCCTTACCTTCCTGAAGGGTGAGGCCACAGGTTTTCCTTCCCCATAGGCTGGGCCCTCCCAGAGCAGCGTGCTTACAACAGAATCTGGTCCCCACATTCACCCTGCAGATGCACCCGGCTGACTCACCTCCAGTAAACTAGCACAGCAATGAGAAGGATGAGGCACACGAAGGTCAAGGCTGATACCACAATCAGAGGGATGATCCACTCCATCCTCCCTGGAGAAGAGCGGCTTATCATTCCAGAGGTATTCTTTTCTGCTGCAAAGAGAAACCATGCCAATTAGGGGACAGAGGCTAGTGGAAATGGAAGTGGGAGCCAGAATGTGATGCAGATTTGTCCTCTTGGGTGATTGCCAGAGACCTGGCCTGCTGGCCCTGGGCTGTCCTACAACAGGAGGAGAAATCTGCAGCCTGCACTGTTTGCTCCTGAAATCCAACACATATGGGGCCTTTTCTGCAGGCTGCGTCCTTTAATCGCCAGTGGGATTGGATTTGCAGAAAGAGTGCAAGATTTTTTGAAAGAGTTGTGCAAAAAAAAAAAAATAAATAAAAATAAAAATAAAAAAAGACATCCAGTCTCATGTGGAGAATATTAGTGATCCAGAGCGGCCTGTGGGTAACTTGAAGAAATGTGCTCAAGTCTGAAGGCAGCACCAGGCTGGGGCCGGTGGGGTGGCCAGTGGAGAGCCTCTCAGATCCACCAGTGCTGCTAGAGGAATGGCAGCAGGAGACTGAGCAGCTGAACCAGGGGTGACTACAATGGCCACACATCTTCTCTGCCTGCTTAGCACCCACTTTCCCTTCCTCTACCTGCTTTGGGAAACCCTCTCCCCCAGTCATCCAAGTGTGGGCTCCTGGTCTCCCGGACAAGGATTAACGGGCTCAGGCCAAGGTAAAGGTGCCATCTCCCGGAATCTCAACCAGCCGCTCACTGCCTGAACAACACATGCCACAAGGAGCACCCAAATTTTTTGCCCCCAGTTCCTATCAACCAGATCCCCCCAAATCTCAAATTTGATTCTAAGCTTTTCCTTTCGTTCCTCATTCCTCCTCGCCAATCCCATTCCTTTCAAAACCTTGAAAACAACCGAGGACAGGAAGCCATGCCTCACTCTGTGCCTGGCTCACGTCTGCCTCCAAACCGCGGACCATTCTAGGGGTCAACAGGGCAAGTCTGAGAGAAGGTTCAGGATTTTCTCTGGTCAACCAACACCTCTTACCTGAGCAGCTCCTTCCTCTGTCTCTTGACCCCGGCAGTGTCTTCACAATTGCCCAGGAGCCTCAGGGGCAAACCTAGGTCCTTTTGAAGCCCGTATGTACCTCGGGAGAGAGACCTGGAGATATCCAGGTGGCCCAAATAAAGCTTGAGGGCAGCGTGGGGCTGGGAGAACACAGGTGGAGACAATTATGGGATGCAGGTGGCAGGAGAGCAAAGGTCACGTGTGGCCACAGGGAGAAGCCCCTTGAAAACTCCAAAGCCGAGTGCAGGCTGATGTGCTTAGCAAGGAGGCCTCCTGTTCTGCAAGAAAACGAGGCCAGCCTTCAGCCAGCCCAGAGCGTCCCTCGGCAGGATGGACTAAATACAGGGCTAATCAGGCTGCCTTTCCAAGTGGGTGGGCTGAATAGGAAAGAAATAATTGGTCCTGGGAGTGGATTTTTAAAGAGGCAAAGCTGCTAAGTGATGACAAGGTATGTTATGGTCCTTTTCACTGTTTCCTCGAATGTAGTTTAACTTAGTCACCTGTTTCATGCATGGGCCTGTGAAACAGCAAGATGGGCTTAAGTCCACCTCCCAAGTAAGCAGACAGAAGCCGGCAGTTGAAATACATTCTGATTAAAGACTGCAACAGAGCACTTTGGGACTTATAAAGTCTCAGCCCGTTCTTTTCACCCCTTGCACTGTAATTTTTCATTAGTGAGCTATATATATATCAAGCCCTGACTATGTGCCAGTTTGGGGCTAGGCAACAGGGATGCAGTAGATCAGTGTAGAGTCAGGACTGGGCACAGTGCAGGTTTTCTGATCCCATGCAGACCGGGTAAAGGAGGAGTCAGAGTCCTCAGTAGTTTTGCAGGTTTTTTATTTGGGGTTCACCAGGCATATGGCAGGCAGGGGTGCTGGCTGGGGGGCTGGGAGGCTGGCAGGCCTCCCAGCCCCCAGCAAGTCTTCACTCTATCTGGGCTCTCTGGCGTTCTCTGCTTCTGCTTCGGCTTCTCCTTCAGGTTCTGCTGCTGCTGGCTGGGGCTGCTCGCGTCCCCCCCGTGACGCCGCCCTTAAAAGCACAGTCTTAGCTCAGCTGAATCCCATCTACCTATGCCCACACCCTACTCCAGGTGCCCGCCATCAGGCATGCATTCAGGACAAGGATCCATCATCTATCCTGATGGCGGAAGGGCAGAAAAGCCTGATATTTTCTTTACCCTACAGTCCACCCCCTCAGGGTTTTCTGCCATACAGTCTATACATACATATACAATTTTCTAAACAAACAATGCAGCCATGGCCCACAAAAGCAAATACATCACAATATAACAAAATACAATATAACAAAATACAACAGAACACAAATAAGTCCAGGCAGGGCACCAACCAAGTGCAAAAGACAATTATTGGTACCAGCAGATGAGCCACCAAATCTGCTGCCGAAGGCACTGCTCATACGAGGGAGGGGAAATCACACACGGCATCTGCTATAACACACCAGGAGCCGTCAGGCTTCCTGGCCTTCTCTGGCTGTAGTCTCGGCTACAAGGCACACACAGCATCCACCCCCAGGATGCACTAGCTCTGGGATTGGCCATTTTATTCTGTTGGGGGTAATCGCCAACCCTCAGGGTTTCTGTCTGCAGTCGCTCCAACACTCGGCCTTCATGGCCACCCATGCGACTCACAGACCCTGCACTCAAGCCAACCCACTGCACAATCACATGGGTAGGGGATCCAAACTCTGCATTCGGCTTGGGCTCCACCCCAAGCCACATTCCCCACCCGTCCCCCAAGGACAGGTTCCTCAGCTCCTCACCCTCGCTCAAGAATGAGCAGGGCATCACCCACAGGTGATTTTACGAGACTCACAGTTCTTCAGCATACCCAGGCTGCTTAACAGCCGCTCAGGGCTTCTCAACTTATCATCAGTACCAGCTTTTGCTTTCTCAGTTGGCTTTTCTCCTCCACCTGGCCACTGGGCATACACAGGCTGCTTTTGGCCATCTAGGCCCACTGGCCACCCCCAGATTCTCAAAAAATAAACATAACCTGCTAAGGTCCTCCGCCTTCTGGCAGGATTGTCAGTCCAAAATCATCAGTTCATCAGTCTATCAGTCCATTGGCCTCTCCCTGCTTCAGCAATGGCCTGCTGCCTCAGGGGTCATTGGCTGGTCCTTTCCGGTGTCGTTGGCTGGTCCTATCCGGTGTCGTTGGCTGGTCCTTTCCGGTGTCGTTGGCTGGTCCTTTCGGGCGTCTCCTTCACGCCAGGTCTCATCCTGTAGCTCGTGGACGTATCCATCTTCTATACCGCCATGGTGCCTCCAGCGTCGTCACAGGCAAAGTCTGTTCTCCTTAGTCCCTCCAGGTCTTCGGAGGGCTCCAATACCCGTCTGCATGGATCTTGCCGACTTACGCCAATTGTAAGGGCAGGACTGGGCACAGTGCAGGTTTTCTGATCCCATGCAGACCGGGTAAAGGAGGAGTCAGAGTCCTCAGTAGTTTTGCAGGTTTTTTATTTGGGGTTCACCAGGCATATGGCAGGCAGGGGTGCTGGCTGGGGGGCTGGGAGGCTGGCAGGCCTCCCAGCCCCAGCAAGTCTTCACTCTATCTGGGCTCTCTGGCGTTCTCTGCTTCTGCTTCGGCTTCTCCTCAGGTTCTGCTGCTGCTGGCTGGGGCTGCTCGCGTCCCCCCGTGACGCCGCCCTTAAAAGCACAGTCTTAGCTCAGCTGAAATCCATCTACCTATGCCACACCCTACTCCAGGTGCCCGCCATCAGGCATGCATTCAGGACAAGGATCCATCATCTATCCTGATGGCGGAAGGGCAGAAAAGCCTGATATTTTCTTTACCCTACAATCAGACAAGAGCAGCTCTATGGCATGGGGCTATGGGCCATCTAGGGGAGAGAGGCAGACTAAAGCCAAATAATTAGAATAAAATGAATGTGATACCAGGGGAAGTACAGGAGCCAAAGGGAATAGCTGTCCTAGCCCAGGGGTTCTGGAGGGGACTCCCCACATTTGGGTGAGAAAGGATAAAGGGGAGTTAGCCAGGCCATGTGCATTCTGGACAGAGCACTAAAATGAGGGGGCGGGGAACCAAGATAGAGAGTCAGAAGCCACATCAGCCAGAGCTTTGAAAACAGGTAAGCACTGTTTGTCCCATGGGCTGTAGAGGCTACAGCTGGGTTGTGAGCCAAAGTAGCTAAGAATCACGTGTGCACACTTTCCCTCGACTTAACAATTTGATGGCAGAGCCCAGGTGATGAGCCAGAGGAACCGGAGTTGCAAATGAGAACCGCTTCACAGGGCTCCAGTAGGGGCAGCCCAGCCAAGGCATGGTCTGCCTTGGGGGTTGGGGGTGGGTTGCAGTAAACTCAAAGACCTGAGGATCCTGTTAGTGGAAAATGTGGCAGAAGGGCCGATGTTATAGGCCACATGTCCAGGGAACTCAGTTGCCACTCCAGGGGAACGTTGCAGATTAGCGGGATGCTCATGCCTTATTTCTTCCTTGCCTTCCTACAGGAAAGGGCTCTCGGTAGGGCTACTGTATAGCAGGCAGGTGGGAGGGGCAGAATGTAAACTCCAGGTTTCCATGTCCAAGTCACTGAAAAGGGCCCTTGGCCAACACAGTCCCTCACTCCAACATCTCTACCCAACTATTGGAAACGCCACCTCAGTGGGATTTCTGCAATTCTGATACAGTGGTCACTCCAGAATGTCCCGGCCTTCGGAGGAATGACCTAGTGGTAAGAGTCCATGCACGTTACACTATCTCTGAAATCACCCCTGTTCGTGATGCTGTCCCCCTCTCGCCCCAAAAGGTGACGGTTGAAGTTTTCATCAAGTGCTCAGAGCTCCAGAACCAAAACAGTCTGTGAACCCCTCCTGTGGACGCCTTGATGTCTGAAGGAGACCTGAAGGTCAGCAGGGGCTAGGGTCTGGGGGAAGTCACCGGCAGCGGGGACAGGGCTGGACTCCAACTAGTTTTCACGACTGACTCATTTCTCTTTCTCACATTTCATGGCACTTGCGTGACAACTGGGAACTCG